AAAAAATCCTTACATATAGTTTTTTATAAGTGTGCTCAACTATGTTTGTGTTTATACTGATGTGTAACACCCCAATATGATACCCTTGTAAAAGTATTTTAAACTGTACAAAAAAATCGAAATCAATTGTGAAAATCCATTCCTTATATAGGACGGTCTCTCCTGTTATTTGCCACATTTGCCACGTTGATCATCACAGTATTTGGAAATTCCCAAATTTGGTAAAATCCCTGACTGTGTCACGAATGTGACTTCAAATGTCGATCTTTTTTATATTGTGTAATGGTAATTTTAAAGTACTTTTCAATTGGATGTTTGACCTTAATGTGATGTATAAACTTTTTATCAAAATTGTCAAACAACTTTATAGCCATATTCTTTATATTTTTTATATTACCAACTTCCTTCCATCATTTTCCTGGAGGAGTTAGCTAAGAACCAAAGTTTATAAGAAAGTAATAGTTAAAGATATAATATATTGGTATACATTAATTTTGGTGACTTTTAACCCATTATAATGGGTATTTGGTTTTTATCATATTATTCAAAAGCATCAGCAAGGTATTTGTTTTGTTAATATTGATATTAATATTAAAATATTTATTGTTTTTATTATTTTTGAAATAGTACATTTCAAGATCAATAAATTTATTTATTATATATAGTTATTATAGGGAGGTGTTTAGATTTACACATATTAATTACTCTTTTCAAATTCTTGGGTAATATTGTTCATGTTTGATTAATAAAGTCCTCACAAATAAATATTATAGTTTTTAGAAGCAATATGTTTCAAGGTCAACATTTTCAAACTCCAAATTTACTACTACTTCATTTTATCATTTGTCGTTGAAGCATCCTCTTTACGTTTTTTCGCCAATAACAATTAGGAGATTAATCACAAATTATCCTATTAGTGGTCTCGAAAAAAACCTCTACATTTTCAAAAAATTCTCGGTTGATTTTTTTTTTAACAACTGTTTTTTTTTTCAATTAATGGTGAAAGCGCATATTTGCATTTTTCAAAAAGACTTGGTCGGTTTCTTGTCAACAATAAGGAAATTAATCTCGAATTATCCTGTTCCTTTTTGCACGTCTTGGTCAGTTTTTTTTAACAACGACCAATTCCCATTTTTATTATTCATGTAACAACTCTTTAATCATTAAAATAAATAAACAAATAAATTTTTTACTCGTAAATAATACGATTGATGGATTGAATTATTAATATTATTATGTGATTTTATAATATTGTGACACCAAAGAATATCATCTCTATGAATGAAAGTTTGGCACTCTAACGTTGTATCACTATAATGATGGCACAAAAAATTCTCGGTTGATTTTTTTTTTAACAACTGTTTTTTTTTTCAATTAATGGTGAAAGCGCATATTTGCATTTTTCAAAAAGACTTGGTCGGTTTCTTGTCAACAATAAGGAAATTAATCTCGAATTATCCTGTTCCTTTTTGCACGTCTTGGTCAGTTTTTTTTAACAACGACCAATTCCCATTTTTATTATTCATGTAACAACTCTTTAATCATTAAAATAAATAAACAAATAAATTTTTTACTCGTAAATAATACGATTGATGGATTGAATTATTAATATTATTATGTGATTTTATAATATTGTGACACCAAAGAATATCATCTCTATGAATGAAAGTTTGGCACTCTAACGTTGTATCACTATAATGATGGCATGATTTCGTGGTTTTAATGTATTCATTTTAAACTCAAAATATCTCTACGTTGGTGTTACGAAAAAAATATGCGAGGACGGTCGTTCTATTTATATACATGTTTCGAATTTAATAAAATAAATAGATTATTACTATTGTCTTTATACTTGCCATTTAAACTCAAAAGACAAGTTCCAATCCCCAAATCCCAAATACAAAACCCAAACCCTTGAATTTCGTGAATTGGATAATACATTTAGGTACAAATTTGGAATGTGTCTTGTATAAATTATTAAATTTGTACTAGTTTCGCGGTATTTCGGGGGGCTGGACTAGACTATACTTTGGGCAGCAAGTATAATTGTCTTTGATCCAAGTGATGTGATTTCATGATGAAGAATACGTAATCCAAACCCAACTTAACTTTAATGTTAACATGATGTTAAATAATAAATTTTTGATCTCGTATAGCACAGCATACATGATTGTGTAATATATAAAAGGCAAAAGTTCACGTTGTTGCATTCTCATTTGTAAGCTTGGTTTTATTATATTACCCGATAAATGCGCCATTTGGTCACGAAATAGTATATTTCCTTTATTTAAGAATTGCCTCATTGATCATGAATACACATTAGATATTAGGATGCTTAGCATCAATGCTAATAAATCAAAGAACATCATTACTATTTTTGGATGGCTCTCACGCAGCATTTGATGTCTTTAGATGGATGGTATGTACTATAATGCTAATCCATACTTCGACAAAACTCACTGTTACATCTCGGTTTCAAACCTTCTTTTACCCAATAACAAAAATGCATAATTAAATTTTCTTTTATAGTAATGTATAAGTCATTTGAATAAAAAAGTTAAAACGTCGCCTGCAGGATTCGAACCTGCGCGTCCAATGGACAATGGCTTAGCAGGCCACCGCGTTAACCACTCCGCCAAAGCGACTAAATATAAATAAGAATTTCATAAAGTAAAAATTATTTTATCACATTTATAATTAATAAATAAATATACAAAATGACAAATAATATTCATTCGCAGGAATTAAAATTTAAAAGAAAAGTTAGATATTTTAAAAAAATCTAAACCATATTCTAATTAACACATTATTTTAGGATTATGTTTTATTTTACTAATGATCTCCTTTATCATTATTGGATTCAATTAAATTTTTATCTTCTTCAATTTTTTGTTTATAATAAGGATGAAACTCATTCCATGGCAATAAAAAACTAAATCGTGAATCATCTATATGTTTTTCACGGACTTTAGCCTCTAGAGATTGACCATTTTTTGCAACATAAATTGCCATTTTATCAATAATAACTTTAAGATCTGGAGGTGGTACTCTACATAATTAGTTTTTTGTTTAAAATTAATTAAAACATAAATAAATGTATGTAAAGAACAATATAAATGCATACATTACAGGTCCAAAAGGTTGAATTGTTGGTCTAGACTGTTTTTGAGGGTTATGAGTCAGTGTAGTAGTGGTTGAATTGGTGTTGGTAGTGTTGTTGGTGATGATATTGGAACCAACAGATGAAGTAGAAGATATTTGCTCTTGGGCTGTTGAACTTTCTTCATATTGTGCCCTTTCATCTATTTTTTTATTTTCATTAATATCTTTTGCAGAAACTTCTGATGGAACATTCTCTTTATCTAATTTTTTTCCCATTAATTTATCTTTTTTTGTTGAGACATTCTTGTTCTCGTCATATTTCTTTTCATCATCATCATCATCATCATCATCATCATCATCATCATCATAATCGTCATCATCATCATCATCATCGTCATCATCACTGCTACTATTTCCATAAGCAAAAAGACCAGTTTGTAATAATAACCTGATATGTTTATAATAAGGATAAAGTGAATCGTCCTTGTTTAAAAAAGAAAAACTTGGATTATTGGCTTGTTTTGCTTGAATGACTATTTCCATTTGGGGATCACTACTGTCATTAAGAAATTTTGCTGTACGTTCTATTATTTCATCAATACGTTTAGATGAAGGCTGTCAAATAAATCGGAGTAGAATTAATTATAACCTTTTTATTAAATTTATAAGTAAAAATAATCATACCGTAAGCATTCCTTGAGGAACTGTAAATTTTGGAATATATCCTGATTTTTGAATTTGTTCAGGTTGATCTTCATAATTTTCATCACCATCATCAACAACACTTGCTTGATTTTCTTCAGAATAACTATATTCATATTCTTTATTCTCTTCTTTTGTTTTTTTGCGCTTTCTTTTTTCCTCTTTAATATATACATAATTAATAAACGTTAAATAATAATATTTTATTCTACATATGTATTAATGTAATTTATGATTAATACCAGTGTATATATCTCTTTCTTCTTCAGACATTTCATATAGATCTTCTGCTTCAGAGTCTAGATCAGCCCATCTTTCTTCTTCACATAATTTTTCCTGTTGAATTTCTTCAGATTTTCTTGATAATGTATATGTTACTTTTTTAAATTGATCACGATCATCAAGTAAGTTTCTTACATCATATCTAATAATATTTGTTTAATAGAATTGTTTGGGTTAAATTTAAATAAAATAATAAAATTAATCACTAATAATTGAATAAGTCTTTGGCCAAATTAATTAAGGCCAAAACACACACACACATACACACACACACACATATACACACACAACTTTCTTATTTATTTATTTTTCTTTCTATTGTTTTTTTTTATTTAAAACATATATACCATAGAGCTGTTCAAAGAAAGGTCTTTTTTCTTTTAAAAAAAAAGTTTATTAAATTTTTCTAATTTAAATCCTTCGTTATATTTGATATTATATAATTTTTCACTTGGGAAAAGTTAACAGCTCCAGCCCTAAGAAAGGTTAGTAGTATGTTAAAGAGCGACATGTAATAATAAACACAAAATTATATATCGAACAAAATTCAAACAATCTTTTTTAAAAAAAAAGGTAGTAAATTAAAAAATTCTTTTATTATGAAAAAAGGAAGCTCACCTATCTAATAAAATTTTATTTTCGATTTCACCCCTCCAAGGTATTAATAAATCACCATTATTGACCTTTTGTGACATGTCGTCGTCACGAAATAATTTTGCTTCATAACCAAAAACAAGAAGATCCACGTAATCTTGAGAATTAGAAGTAGTGGTGGTACGTTGTTTTTTACCTGGATGTTTACTTCTTTTATGTTTAAAGCGGGAATTTGATGGGGAATCTGACCAGTCATGTTCAGAAGTTTTCTTGGGTGTTGCAAGTTCAGGTAAAAGCGTCTCGCTAAAAAACATATTTATTGTAATGCTATATATATGAAATTAACTTATTTTTTTGAGCATAGCATATCCACCGATTTCTGCAATGTTACACGATTTCAGGCTGATTTTGGGGCACATTTTCGTTGTTTTTGTTTTGTTTTAA